CTAAAAATCATGGAAGTGGCACGTGGATTTTTGGACAATAAGGACGAGATTACCCTTGGCACATTAGAATTCCCACGCTAATGCAATGGATAATAACGGCTCAATCAAGGAAGAGTAAAAGGTGATCAATATGGACTTTATTTCATATTCCTCTTATCACTCCTCATCAATCCCATATTGATTTTATTCAAAAGGTAACTCTCAATACTTCTTGTTTAAATTAGGAGTAATTGCTATATTAATTGCGAGATATTATACCACAATCTCCACCCAAAGGGCTGGCCATTCTCCTATAAATACCCTTCTTATCCTACTAAAATGCTAAGTCATTTACTACCCAAAAACTCCTAAACACATTCTTTTCATAATTCTAACTTTGGCATTGGAGATTCTTTGGCCAAAGCCTCCCCATTCATCATGGGTGCATGAGGCTTTTGGCCTTAATCAAATGTGTTATTATTTTGCAGGTGCATTTTCGTCAAAGGAATAGATGACGGAAATTTGCATCCATAAATATGTTATAATTTGAGTCAAATACTAATGTCACGTGACTGTGTTTATGGTAAACCGAAAAATTGCTCGTGAATCTGTTTAAGGATGCTGGCAAATTGCAAAATGATCACGTTAAATTTAATAAGTATCAACTAACAAGCACTATATAGCACACAACTTGATTGACTGGAAAAAAAGGTCTCCTAGATTGTTATGTAAATGTAATATATATATATATATATATATATATATATATATATGTTGCTCATGCTTTGCACGATTCGACTCGAAATGTAGTTGTTTTTGTTGTTTTAGAACTAATAGTTAAGTTGAATCCAGAACTTTTGTGTGGAAGAGAAAAGAGTGATAGATCAAACTAAGAGATGAAAAAAATGTTTGATGCGCAAAAATGAACGATGAAGAGGGAGAATAGGATAGGCATATTGAAAATTCATAAACGGCTACTATTCGGCGGTGTTTGTCCAAAAACTATTTTTTTACTGCTTCTGATTTCTGCTTTGAATTGTCATGATTTAAAAAAATAAAAAAACAAAGTTTGCTCGAGTTACCAAACACAAATTGGAGTCTAACTTTTTTTACCCCTACTTACAAAAAAAGTTAAGTAGTCCCAAATTAGAACTTAATAAATTGTGTATATATATATATATATATATATATATATATATATATTTATAGTAAGTTAGTGAATAAATTTTCAAAAATCTGGTACATGACATCATATATGATAAAATTCCCGACTTTTAAAGATGAAAATAAGAATCTTGGGTGTTTATGGACTCAACAAAATCTTCTCAGTGAACAGATAGTGAAAAGAGGGCTTTGAGAATGGAAAATGCTTGGAAAAAGTTTCATGCCTATGAGGCTGTTGGAACATGAAACCCTTTACCATTTAATTAGAATGGGATCAGGGACGACCCAAGGGCAGGCCATGAATTGTGATCGCCAATGAAGAAAGTATATGTAGTCTAACTTCTTTTGGATTATTTCATTTTTCTTATATTCATTTATGTATATCGTTTAATTGAGATAGTCTTAATAAGTGACTTTACCCAATTTGTTATATTAGACATAATTAAACATTGAAACATTATTCTGAAAGGCTTAGTTTTGAGAATGACTTTTAGGACATATCTCCAATAACAATGTCACATAGCTTGTGCGGAACGCAACTATGCACTTGTTTCATGCAAGTCATTTTGTAAATTCAAGTATGTAGCTGGTTGAAATAAATTTTGTTTACAATTACACAAACAAAACATGACAAAAATAAATAAAATGGTTGTTAACATAAATGGTTATTGAAATTGAAGATCGATTAATGTCGCAAATCAATGTGGCCACATCATAATTCTATCAAAATTTCTTGTTATGTGTTGATTGACACACAACTAAGTTCCACAAGCCTAATTTTAGGTTTTGCTAGTTTTGGTGCTTGATGTTTGGCTTTCTTTAAGGGGTAAGGTACTTGCCCTTCCACTCTTTGTTTGTACTTTTATTCTTTTTAATAAATTTATGCATGTCCTTCCATAATAGCATGTTAGAATGAACAAAAAAAAACATAATAGCATGTTAGAATGAACAAGAAAAAAAACCCGCGCGATGCAACGGGTTTATAACAATGATTAGCAACTAAAATTGGTCCACAAATTAATAATAAAAAAAAAGATCAAGTGAAAATCTGAACACTAATAGCAAATATATACATGGCGGTTCCATAATTTTGTGGGCAACATGCAAAACTTGCCAACATATTTTGTAGAACATATACCCTTAAAAATTAGAACATACTACTATACTTCATAATTAAACCAAATTTAAATCAATACCCTACGCGACTTATTGTTATCACTTTTTATGATCAATGCTTTCTACTTTTTTTTTTCCCTTTCTGTTGGTCAATTTCTTTGCAGCTTCTTTCTCAAACACAAATGTTTTTCAAATCTTCTCAATTTCATACCTAAAATGTCGACTTAGATCATAAAATTTCAGGATAGTATAACTATGAAAATACTATTATTGTGGAAGAGACGACATAAGGAAATAACAGCAGGGCAAGGGAGCAAGACATCGTCGTTTAGGCTTAGGGTGTTTAAAAAAAAAAAATTCCATTCTTCCTCCCGTAGCTTCTGGATGGCCAAACTGAGTTCCGGTCAAGGGGTTTTGCGGCTTCTAATGGCCACAAAACATGTTGACAGAGTGATAGCATAACTGACAAAGTGAGTGAGTGAGTTTTGGGTTTGCTGAAGATTGAAACGATGTGGAGGAATTTGGTGGTGAATTGATTTGGATGAGCAAATAGGGATGTGGGTTTGGAAGGATCTAGAGAAGTATGACGGTGAAATTTCTTGTCTTGATGGTGTGAACGTTTAGATGAGCTTTTTCGGTTTCGATTTGGATTGGAGTAAAAAGCAAGCGATGCAGACTGTAGAGGAAGGAAGCGGTGGGGGAGAGAAATCTCGCTAGCGCACCACGTGTGCAACATGGCTTTTCGTCTTTTTACTGTAGCAGCATGAAGTATAGGAAGGAAAAGACAAATTGAATGGGGGTATTTTAGTCTTTACACTGTGCTTAGGAACAATGTTCTTCTCATTGCGCGTTAGTATATATAATTTGACTTTGTTGTTTATTAAAAAAAAAAGTTGAAAAGGTCAAACAAGTTGGAAATAAGAGGAAATTACAAATTAATAATGGAAATCTCTTCCACTAAGACTACTAAATCAAGTGATTCAAACCTTTGAAATTTTATCCAATAGTAAAAAATTATTATAACTTTTAAGAGATCAAAACAGATGAGCCGTTAGATAAAATTTTAAAGGCTCAGATCACTTGATCTAGTGGCCTTGGTGGAAAAGATCTGGAGATGATCTCCTTCCATTAATAATGGTATCTACTTCCTTCCTTCTGGGATCATCTATGGATAGTGATGTGTTCATGTTGAGAAGTTTTTCATTGTGACAAGAATATGGGTGATAGACTACGTGTTTTTATGTAAATGATGGAAATTTTTATTTTTTAAGTTATTAACTTTTTTATAGTAACACATGGTGTACCACCCCGTATACCGATCATACTAAAAAATCTCTCGTTCAGGTCAATCACAACATATTGAATTAGTACAAATTTTGGCACGAAGAAGTAATATTTTCTCTCCTCCTATTGTCATTTCATTCCCTTTCTTTCTCTCATACTTTGCTTTTTGTCATATTGTTTATATAAAATATTAATATAAGATATCATGTAGGAATATAGGAAAGATAAGATAGATTAGAAAATGAGAGAATCATCGTCTGCAAGTGAACCTGTTGAACTGTGCTTAGAAACAGTGTTTTTCTCATTGCGTTTTAGTATATATAATTTGACTTTGTTGTTTATTAAAAAGAAAAAGTTGAAAAGGTCAAACAAGTTGGAAATAAGAGGAAATTACAAATTAATAATGAAAAGTGATCATTTCCGGATCTCTTCCACTAAGATTACCAAATTAAGTGATCTGAACCTTTGAAATTTCATCCAATAATAAAAAATTATTATAGCTTTTAAGGGATCAAAACAGATGATACGTTGGATAAAATTTCAAAGGTTTGGATCACTTGATTTAGTGACATTCGTAAAAAAGATCTGGAGATGATCTCTTTCCATTGATAATGGTATCTACATCCTTCCTTCTGGGATCATCTTGAGAAATTTTTCATTATGACGAGAATATGAGTAATATACTACGTGTTTTTATGTAAATGATGAAAAATTTTATTTTTTAAGTTATTAACTTTTTTATAGTAACACATGATGTACCACCTTGTATACCTGTCATACTAAAAAAATTTCTCGTTTAGGTTAATCATGGTATATTGAATTAGTACAAATTTTGGCACGAAGAAGTAAGATTCTCTCTCCTCCTATTTTCATTTCATTTCCCTTCTTTCTCTCATACTTTACTTTTTATCTTATTATTTTTATAAAATATCAATATAATATATCATGTAGGTAGATAAGAAAGATAAAATAGATTAGAAAATGATAGAATCCTCGTTTGCAACTGCAAGTTAACCTGTTGAAAGGTACCCATGAACCGAAGTTATAACCGCGTACATTAATGGAGGTGATCACGCATGCTCTTGCGTCACCCAAAAACCTGCACGTAAGTCTATAAATAGTAAAATAGCATCTCCCATGACAACCAAAACCCAAAAACTTAAAACTGTTCACCAAGATAAAAAGCCCAAAAACCTAGAGCAAAACGACTTTTTTTCTCAACAATCTCTTTAATTTCTTCCCAATTTCTGGGGAGCCCTCTCCATATTTACAACAAATTATTAAGGGTCCCAGTTATTAAGCATGAGCTCACAGACGAGTAGTGTCATTGGAAACTGCTTGGGATGGGCTGCAACTGATGAATCTGGAGTTCTCTCGCCGTACAAGTTTGCCCGAAGGTAACTAAATTTCTATCAGTTTAATGTGTTTTTAACAAAACAGAAACGGAAACATGTGAACTGAGGTTTTTTTTTTTTTTTTTTTTTTTTTTTTTTTTTGAATATGTCGATATTAAGCTACATAGGCGCAAGGAGGGGCGGTCGCCCCTCCTCTCGCCGGAAATGATGCCCAGCAGCAACTTGCTGCCCCCTTTAGATCGTCGGAAAACCTGCAAACCATCCCTTTTCCTTCCTGCTGCTGCGCTGCGGGTCTGTTCTTTTGAACCTGGGTTTATGAAAAAGAAATCTTAAGCAGAACGGCATCGTTTCGGCGTACTAAAAGAATAGTAAAAAGCTAAAAACGGCGCCGTGTGATCATTGAAAGTTAAAAAGATAAGGGGAGGGGACCACCTTCCATTCGTCCGTGTCCCCTTCCATTCCAGCTTCAAGCCTTCAAGCCTTAGCCAGCGGCTTCCACCTTCCATTCCAAGGAGCCTCGAAGCCAACATCTTCCAAGCCAACTTCCATAGCCACTTTTAATGTAAAGATCTATTTTTTATTTTATTTATTTTATACATTTAATTATCCCTAATTGATAGTTTAATATAAAATTTTGTTTAATTGATATGAATTGTATGGTTATTGATGAATTTAACTGTTGATTATTGATTAATTGAATTGTTGATTTTTTATTAAATTAATTGTTAACTATTAATAATTTTATATAATTATTAATATTAATTAACTAAATTGTTGGTCTAATTAGTTATTACTCGTAGTAGACTCTACTCAAGGATTAAGTGACTTTTTTTCTTTCCATTATACATTTAGGTAATGGAATGATACTATAAGTTATGGGGAAGGACAATCGATGTTTTATCTCCCGTTAGTTTGATAATTTTGAGTGATTGAAATATAGTATAGCAAAAGATGTAACATTTTGCCATTATTGAGACTTTTCAATGTGATTTTGATAAAATGAGAAATGATGGAAGTAATGTCTTCATTGAGAAACGGTTTACTAATTGGAGGTAAGGATTCGGAAAATTTCGCCCCTCCACCCAACAATTCCTAGCTTCGCCACTGCCATCTACGAGATTCGAACTTAAGACCTCTAACTTCTGAATGAAGAAAAATACCATCAAATTGTAATACTGAATAGTTGTAAACTGAGTTATATATGTACGTTATTGGATGGCTAGATAAGCGTAACTTGCAAGACTAGCCATAATTAGGCATACAACTCACATAAAATACATATTGTTCTTGTATTAACTAGAGACAACTACCATTACGTCAACGACTAGTAGGCGTGTGTGTCTATACATACATACATGCATACATATATACATACATATATATATATATATATATATATATATATATATTGCTTGATTTCACCTGGTTGATACCAAAACTTTAGTGGTATCCACTCCTTTGAAGTGATCTGCTAGAAGTAGAAAGAAGTATAGTGCCATTCCTTTTTATAAACACAACGCCCTTAATTGGTTATACTAATATGCAGCTTGTGATATCTTCCCCGAAGTTAGTGGCAATGCAGTCTTTGAAATAATATAAAATTTTGATGGAAAATAATTAAGAAATAAATCTCTCATCCTTAGGCCTAATAAAGTTCGATGCAGCTAGATCACGAATTTGAAATCCGGATACAATTATCTAAAGTACACTAAATGACTAGTATATTGAATTTACATGCTATATATGTAATATTGATAGTTTTAATTAAACAAAGGTTGAGTTAATGTATTCAGGAATCTTCAAAACGATGATGTTTCGATAAGAATTACGCACTGCGGAATTTGTTATGCTGATGTGGTTTTTCCAAGGAACAAGCATGGCAACGCCATGTATCCAATGGTGCCTGGGTATGTCGAATGATTTATTATGTTACATATATGATTGTTATTACATATATTTCCTTGAACTGACCTATTTTGTCTATGATTGATTGTACAACAGACATGAGATTGCTGGCATTGTTCAAGAGGTTGGTCCAAATGTTCACGGCTTCAAAGTTGGTGATCATGTTGGAGTGGGAACTTTTGTTAATTCTTGTAGAGATTGCGACTATTGTAGAGATGGCATAGAGATTTGCTGTGAAAAGGGAGCAATTTTGACTTATAACCATGTTGATGCTGATGGCACGATTACAAAAGGAGGGTTTTCCAGTTACATTGTTGCTCATGAAAGGTTAGTATTCTCCATGTCAAATGTAATGTGTCAACCTGTACTTCTGTATCATCATCTATTAGGATATGTTTAGTTTATGGTTTTAGATTTTGTGACCATCGACCCTGCGTATTTGCAATAACTGCAATGTGAGTGCCTAGACTTATAGTGTCTTAATGCTCAAGAAATCCGGAAACAGTACGAATCTATCCGGAAACAGTATGATATGTTAAATTTATGGTTTTAGATTTTGTGACTGTCGAGTGTCGACCCTGCGTATTTGCAATAACTGCAATGCGAGTGCCTAGATTTATAGTGTCTGCATAATTAATTGCTTAATGCTTAAGAAATTCGGAAATAGTACGAATCTGTCATAGATGAGGACGTTAACTTTGTTCTTGAAATTATTATAGGTACTGCTTCAAGATACCAGAGGGCTACCCCTTGGCTTCTGCAGCACCTCTGCTTTGTGCCGGCATTACTGTTTACTCTCCAATGATCCGCCATAAAATGAACCAGGACGGTAAATCACTAGGTGTGATTGGCCTTGGTGGTCTCGGACACTTGGCAGTGAAATTTGGGAAGGCTTTTGGACTAAACGTGACAGTTTTCAGCACAAGCTTATCAAAGAAGGAGGAAGCTCTAAGTCTGCTTGGTGCAGACAATTTCGTTGTCTCATCCAACCAAGAGGAAATGACGGTAAAATTTCACAAGTTGATATAATTGTTTACGGAAAATTGATTCGTGCAATTTAGTTTTGTGTGTACATTCCGTTTTGTTTCCCATTCCAGTCTTTCGCGACACTTAGCATACGAATTTTTATTCATCTGATTTTGTTACATCGACAATTTTTACTGTTTATGCAGGCCCTGGCTAAGTCGCTTGACTTCATCATCGACACAGCATCTGGTGATCATCCATTTGATTTGTATATGTCTCTGCTGAAGACTGCTGGTGTTCTAGTCTTGGTTGGGGTGCCAAGTGAAGTTAAATTAAGTCCCATGAGCTTGATTATTGGTATGTTAACACTTTTAATACTCACAACTTTCTTTTTTAAGACAAGAATTATAGATCGTTTTACAAAATATATTGACTATTTGTCAGGTATGAAGTCAATTTCTGGTAGCGGAACGGGAGGTACAAAACAGACGCAGGAAATGTTAGACTTTTGTGCTGCTCACAAAATTTATCCAAACATAGAAATAGTTCCAATTCAGTATGTGAATGAAGCTCTTGAGAGGCTGATCAAGAGGGATGTGAAGTACCGTTTTGTTATAGATGTGGAGAACTCCCTAAAATGATGAGGAATCGATATTTCTCTTTGAATTCATTGAGAACTTGGTATGAGGATGAAGAAGTTGGTATGCAACATGGTTGCGGTTAATTTTTCGGTTTTTTTTCTTTTTTTTTTTTTTTTTGCTAAGAAGCGAATGTTGTCCTACTTTGATATTTGTTATAGGTGGAAGTGTTTGTACTCAATTTTTAATTAACATGTGATGTGAGTGAGTTAGAACTTTAAAGAATTATATGAAATAAATAAATGAGTTTAGCCATATATCACAATAAATTCTTGTTTTTAGCTTGAATAGATTGGCACCACTACGTGTATCGCCCACGCCAACAACGTACTCATGTATTACATTGAGTTTTCCATTTTTTTATCACTTTAAAATTTACCTTGAGATATGATTTCATTTTGCTTTCGGTCCATGGATTAATTAGAGGAAATTTCAGAAGCCCAGTTAAGCAACTGTTCTTCAAGTAGAGGATAAGCAGTCCATGTTAGGAAAACGGGCATTTGGGCTGATATGTCCTGTAATCCTCCTGTTTGTAACTGAGCGCCAAAGTTGAAATTATAAATATGCCTCATACAATTTTCTTTTTGTTTGACTTTCAATTCTTCCTTAGCCCTCTAATTATTTAAAGCGTGACAATTGGCTTTAAACTATCAAATTGTCATGTAGACCGAATAATGAAGAGCTAACTACGTTTTTTTAGTGGATGCGGGGGTGTCAACTTGAGACTGAGTTCGATCAAGTGAGTAGAATAGATGTGGTGGTGGTGTCGAATGCGTTGCTGACTTTTGTATTCAAGCGATCACGGGCGAGGAAGGAACATGTCTTGGCCTTGGGTTTTAGAACCTAAATACAAGGTTGCTAGTCACTATGAAGTTCAAATAAGGTTCAACTTTAAATGTGCTGAACACTGAGAAATCTGGTAACACCTCATCACCAAGAGGGTAGTGAGATGATCTATTTCACTAAGAAAACCAATGGCTCCTCGATGGCAGAGACTTGGATAAGTAACTAGCCAAACTCAAAGTAGTGCTATTAATCTAAACTGAAGGAATTTCTCAGTCCCCTGATTCTACAGCTCCAGCGTTGTTAATCCAAATTGAAGATGTCATCAGTTGTCAACATAGTGTTGTTACTCCAACCTGAAGTTGATGAAGGAGTTAGGTGAGTTAGTGACATCTCATAGTACAAGAAGGATTAGCATAGAGCGAGGTTTTGCGCATGGCATTTGTGTGTTGAGTTGAAGAACCAATTCGTGGTGACCAAGCTAGCTGAAGTAGAATCCTAATAGAACTATATTTCTTCGGTGCTTTTCTAGATATCTATGATATTATCCTTTCACTAAACAAAACCAATCCGCACATGGTCTCAGCCACTTCGACTTGAACTAGGATTCTGAACCTAGCCGTCTTATGGATTAAATTCACTTGTTATTTGATCAGTCACAAGTCTTGACTCTTGTAATAATTCGAATCTTATCAATATCTACCATGATCCTTAGCAATTTCAATTTAATTAGAACTCAATCGAATCATTCCTTCCATGGCTGAACTTCACTTGACTTGAGAAATCAGTATTGGGCAGAGAACCACAACCTTTTAACCCAGTCATCTCTCTTTTGACCAAACCTAATATTTAAGGCCCAAACAGGTATGTGTTGAGAAATATGAGTAATCAATGATCCAATCATATTAGATAACAATAGCCTCAATTTTCTCTTCTATTGCATGATTGTGCATTAGCCTGGTGGTTGGAAAATAACCATCTTCAGGTGTGAAGGTGAGTGGGTAGACAAAAAAAGGACAGACTGAAATAATGGCTGCATCACATTTTTTTTTTTGAACAAACGATAATATGCTACGGGAGTAGGGGAGTGGGCTAATCCTCACACTGGGGCTGGTCATAATAATGTGGTTCAAATTCCCTTTTGGCAAGAATCGAAACTATGACCTTTCACTTACAAGTGAAGGGAAATATTGCTAGACCGTAGTAGTAATTGGCAAGGGCCTAACTTAGTTTTTGCCCTAGGATCCTTAATTAGCCATAACCAGCCCTAGATGGGATGGCAAACAATAACTACGTTTTTCTTATGATCAATGCCCCTATTAATTGCATATTTAGAATTTGAAATTTGGGCTTTTGTGTGAATGGGTAGACCGATATCATGGTGTCATGAACTAATCATACAATGTTACATAACTTGTGCAGGGCTTCACGTTAACACTGCACTTGTTTCAAGCAAGTCATTTTGTAAATTCAAGTATGCAATTGGAAATGAAATAAATTTTGTTTTCAATTTACACATACGAAATATGGGAAAAAAAAAGAAAATGGTACGGGTAATTACCAAAGGCGGGTAAAGAATCTTACATTTCTCAACTCCTGGGAAGAGACATGGGAATTACCAAACCCAACCTTAGTATTCTCCATGTCAAATGTAATGTGTCAACCCGTACTTCTGTATCATCATCTATTAGGATATGTTTAGTTTATTGTTTTAGATTTTGTGACCATCCACACTGCGTATTTGCAATAACTGCAACGCGAGTGCCTAGACTTATAGTGTCTTAATGCTCAAGAAATCCGGAAACAGTACGAATCTATCACAAATGAGGATGTTAACTTTGTTCTTGAAATTATTATAGGTACTGCTTCAAGATACCAGAGAGCTACCCCTTGGCTTCTGCAGCACCTCTGCTTTGCGCCGGCATTACTGTTTATGCTCCAATGATCCGCCATAAAATGAACCAGGCCGGAAATTCACCGGGTGTGATTGGCCTTGGTGGTCTCGGACACTTGGCAGTGAAATTTGGGAAGGCGTTCGGACTAAACGTGACAGTTTTCAGCACAAGCTTATCAAAGAAAGAGGAAGCTCTAACTCTGCTTGGTGCAAACAATTTCGTTGTCTCATCCAACCAAGAAAAAAAGACGGTAAAATTTCACAAAGCTGATACAACTCTTTACGACAAAATGTTTCGTGGAATTTAGTTTCGTGTATACAAAATTGTGCTTAGCATACGAACTTTTGTTCATCTGATATTGTTATATCTAGGGTTTTTACTATTTAATTATGCAGGCCCTGGCTAAGTTACTTGACTTCATCATCGACATAAATTGATATTTCGCTTCGAATTCATTGAGAATTGATACGAGGATGAAGAAGGTGTGTAACAGGGTTGTGGTTAATTTTCAGTTTCTGTTTTTGCTAAGAAGGGTTGTGGTTAAATCACAGGCCACAGAATATCAACCACAGAATTTCATTAAAGTCAAATCTAACGGTCAAGAGGGTGTCCTTATTTTTTTTTTAAATGGAGATCTCTTCCCTTAATGGCTGCCTATATATATGATTTTTAATAGTATGTGAGTGAGTTTGAACTTCAGAGAATCTAATAAAAATAAATAATGAGTTTAATCATATATCACGATAAATTCTTGTTCATTGAATGAATTAGTACCATCACGTGCAACGGTCATGCCAATAATATACTCATGTATCACATTCGTTCTTATATTTGAGCTTTCATTTCGTTCTTAGCTCTCTAATTATTTAACGCGTACCAATTAGTCTCAAATAACTGTCATATTTTTTATTTGTTCTCCTCACTTGAATGAACAAAAATAACTCTTAATTTGATGAAAAAATGTAGCACTATAAAGCAAATTGACACATTCTAAAAGATTAGTAATTGTCATAACCAAATTGAAAGTAGAGAGAACAAATCTGAAGATTCAAGGTCATGTTGCATCCCTAAACTTTTCCCTTTTAAAGCAGAAAATAATTCGAAACTATTTTGTTTAGAAGTATAGGGTACCAGCTTCTGCCTATTTTGATTTCAATCCAACCCCAACCCCAACCCCAACCCCCACCCCTTATCTCTTTTTGTTGTTCGCCCCACCCTGGCAACCCTTGGATAAAGACCATTTTCCACCATACACGCACGGGTGTGACCTGCATAAAATTTCCTTCATATTAGTTTTGCCCACGGGTAATGATTCTCTCATTTTTTTGGGACCACAAGGATTGCACGTGCAATCACTGCCTTCATTACTTCTAAATGCTGTCACAACTTCACATTATGTTTGGATAAGAGAAATAAACTTATAATTTAAGTAAAAATCAGAATTTGTAAATTGACAAGCATTAATTTCCTTATTTGGATTCATAAATATAGAAATTTAAAATTTCAGCGTGGAAAAAAAACTTGGAGTTTGGAACCTCCAATTTCCAAGTTTAAATTATATGTAAATAGGCGTCATTTCTTAATTTTTATGATTGAGAGTTTAAAATAACAAATTTTGTATTCAATTCATTGTTCTTTTAGATTAACCAAACAAAAAAATTCACAAATTCTAGAAAATAAAATCTCGTCATTTCAATTTCTCTCATTTTAAAATTCCTTAGTAATCTTAAATTTCTTCATCCAAACATAGTGTAAGTGTTCAATTGATAATTATTTTGTTTCTTATTTTTTTATTTTACTCTTTGTGCTAGCTAATGATAGATGAAATATTTGAAAAAAAAAAAGGATAATGTTAGGAAGATTAAATTTTTAAATCAAATTTGCAAACCAAATCATGGGTCACTAATAAGAAATAAGCACGTTAATCGACATTTAAGTAACAATTCAATCATCAACATCCACATTATTTGATTTACAAAATTTGGTTTAGAAATTTGGTTTCCCTAACATTACACAAATTGGATAGAAAAAAACTCAAGGGCTTGATATAGTGAAAAGCGACTATAGGTTAGAATCTCTAACTCGAGTTCAAACTCTAGGGATGCATTCTTTGGTGCCACTGACTTTGCTTTGGCGGCGTACAGTTTGACCCGGAGGATAAAAATATGATGTCGACTCATGTGGTATCGAGAGGTTAGTCCGACACTAATATGTTGTGCAATACCTCTTATATTAAAGAAACTCGAAAACTATTTTAAAGTTGTTTTCACTTTTTAAGTTTTGTTTTCATTCTTACTTAATACTTCTTCCCTTAGCAATTAAATGAAAAACTTTAATGCTACTAACTTTACCAAAACAAAACAAAAAGAGTAGTGATATCCATATACCCATTTTAACTCCTCTCACACCTCTCTCAATTTCTGGCCATGAGATCAAATGAATTGAAAAAGATCAATGGTAAAAAATTAACAAGGATGTGTGAAAGGTAAAACATGTGCGTGAATAGCACTTTCCAACAAAAAGAACACTACAACATTACCAATAATGTTACATAACCCAAATAAACTACATTTTGTTAG